GGCAAGTCTGCAGGAAACCGTCGGCTCTCTTCAGCTGAGGAACGGGCGCGCTGAGCCATTTGAATGTTACTGTTAACATCACCTGCACCTGCTGAGGGAGCACAGTGGGAAACGGTTCGGATGGGATTTGTTTCGGAGAATAAAACAAAGCTAGGTGTGCAGTGTGGGTGTGAGAAACGAGAAATGCTCTCTGGGGTAAGGAGGCCCAGCAGGCCATTCCTTCCACTAAAGAACTCTGTATAAGGCTCTTAAGGCTCTACGAAACCCCTCTCAACCCTAAGAACCCAGGGCCCAGTTCCCAGCATGCAGTAGGGTTTAATAAATATATCCTAATGGGTAGAATGGGAGCGTCCACAGGTCCACCCTCTAGCCCAGTGGGTCTCAACCTTCCTAATGCCTCGACCCCTTAATACAGTTCCTCGTGATGTGGTGACCCCCAATTTCATGGTTACAAATGGAACATAATTAAAGCATAGTGATTAATCACAAAAACAATATGTAATTATATATGTGTTTTCCAATGGTCTTAGGCGACCCCTGTGGAAGGGGTCGCGACCCACAGGTTGAGAACCTCTGCTCTAGAGGCAACCTCGGCCACCAGGGAGTGCACCTCCTCCTCTGAAGCTCGGGCCAACTTGCAGGTGGGACACCAGGGCAGCGGCCCCACCTGTTCCCTAACCGGGACGGGCCGACTCTCTGCCCCTGCCTGGGGGTCTGACACTTGGAGGAAATGCAGAGCCTCGATCAGGACAAGGATGATGAACCCTACAAGGAACTGAAAAAGACGTTGAGGGCAAGGTGGCCGGGACTGGGGCCACCTTTGTCTCCCTCTCTTTACAGGGTTTCTAACCACGTGCTCTTAACTCCGACCGCTTATTAGAGTTTTTAAGATTCCCCATGCCTGGGCCCTGCCTCAGCCCAGCTTAATCAGAACCTCTGGGAGTGCCGCCCAGGAAGTCAGTTTTTTTCTTAAAAGCTCCCTTCTTGTTCTCCCAGGCAGTCAAGGGTGAGGGCCCCTGATTGAAAGGGACTTGAATAGATTCCTGTTCTGGAAGAGTCCCTGGAACTAATCCTCAGAAGAGAGGACTTGCTAGTTTTCCAGTCAAATGAATAGGATTCGGGATTATCCTTCCCCTGACTTCTTCACCTCATTTCTGCTTCCTACCCTTGCTCCCCACCAGGTGCCTGAAGGATGATGATGATGATGATGATCAAGCTCTCCAGCTTCTCCAAGCAGCTTCACGGAGAGCTAAAACCGGCCCAAGTGCGGAATCCCCTACGGTGCCCGGATGAACCACACACAGACTCTCTTCAGATACCTCATCAGTTTGGAGACCTCCGCCTGCCAACCCAGTTGGGTCAAAATTCGAAAGCAAGCATGATGCAGGAGTCCTCGGAGGAAACACGGGACTAAAGTGGAGAGGAGACTGGGTTTGGGAAGACAGAACACAACACGTGCCCGAAGGCCTCCGGAAGGAATTCTACCACTTATTCTTTTTTTTTAATTAAAAACAAAACAAAACACGAAAAACTCAAAATGAACAAAAAGAAAGGATTAAACAGTTATACAAGTTTCAGGACAACTCTAAGCCTTCTTTTGCGGCTGCAGATACCAGATGTGGATTTGGCATAGACTCTGTAAGAACCCTTCGGTCCTGCAGTGGCTTCTTTCCATAGCCTTCTCTGTGCATACAGGAAGCGGACTAGCTACACACAGCGTCCCCGGGGGCTCCGTGAGCCTTTGCAAAGCGGCAATCAGCGCGTGGACGCGGGAGGGGGCAGGGGGAGGCACGGAGGAGCGGGGAGGACTCTGTTCCCAGTCTTTGAACATGAACTCAGACCCCAGCAAACCTAATCTATTTCTTTGAAAAATATGAAGGTAAACGGAAGGCCTGGAAAAATCACCGTGACCCTCGGGCCAGGGTGCCAAGGATAACCCTTGTCGATAACTGCACTGTAGGAACTGGGGAAGCGTGTCCTCCGATCGGCAGGTCTACGATAATGCA